CTCTTGTTTATATGCAGGTCATATATTATGCATGGGAAATGTGTGTGTTTTAGTGACTCGTTTTTATGTTGTTTAGTTCCTTTGTAGTTGGTAGGATTATCTGCGTATTCATTAATTTTCTGCGTGATGGATATGTAGCAAATATTTTTCACCCATTCTGAATGCTGTCTCTTCACTCCAGCGGTGCGCTTGCTTTTGCTGTGGAGAAAACTGTTAATTAATCTAACCCCATCCGCCAAATATGTAGAACATTTTCTGAGCTATTGAACCTTTTAAGAAAGTTCTTGGCTGTACCCACTCATGAGGACCTTTCCCTCTACCTCTGACATATTCAGAATTTCTGGTCTCTTATGAAGTTCTTTTGTCCCTTTAGAACTGATTTTTCTTCAGGATGATAGGAATCCAGTTGTATTCTTCTACATGTGTGTATCTAGTTGTCCCAGGACTATACGTCAATGAGGATGCCTGCCTGTTCTCTAATGTATGTTTGAGCATCTTTGTCACAGTGGCCACAGCAGCCACATGTGTTCTCTCACATTTGGGCCCTAGCTTCATAGTTTTACATATCTGTGTTTAAGTAGGAGTTACTGTCTGTAGAAGTCAGGGAGCAAGAGTCAGTCTTGAGGGGAGGGGCAGTAAAATGCTTGTGACATGGAAGTGGCATTGGGGGAACGCAGGGACTAGAAAGGCTTCAACAGGGATGGTGCCGGGGCAATGGGGTTGAGAAAAGGGTCAACCAACACTTAGGACATGGGCAACAGCCATGCAGAAACTTCCTAAATTTAGAAGGTAACTAAAGCTTTTTTTGTTCCTTTTTGTGATTATAATTCCACCTTTCCTCCCGTTCTTTTTCTCCCTCTAAAGATGCACATATACCACCCCACCTTGTTCTCTTTCAAATTTATGGCCTCTTTTTTCATTAACTGGTTTTATGCATATATGTATGTGTTTATATATATATATTTCTAAATATAACCCGCTCAGTGTTTATCACGTCACTTGTACGTATGCTTCCAGGACTGATCATTTGGTATGGGACAAACAATTGCTATGGTCTTCTCTGGGGAAGACTATTTCTCCAGCTCTCAGTATTCCTTAGTTGTCTCCTTGTTCTTTGGATAGGGCTGAGGCCTAGTGGGCTCCCCCTGTCCGGTTAGGCGTGTCTATTGTTGTTCTTGGTCAGCTTATGCTTGGGCAGTCACATTGCTGACACAGTATGGGTGACCTCTGGCATCACTAGGAGACAGAGCCTCACAGCTTGTTCCCTGATCCCCTACTTTTCAGAATCTTTCTGCCTCCTATTCTAAAATATTCCCAGAGCCTTAGATGCAGTTGTTTTGCAGATGTATCCATTGGGACCGGCTCCACAACTCTGCAGTTTGATTGCTTGTTGGTTTCTGTAATAGTCTCTGTTGCAAAGAGAAACAAAATCGATGAGAGAGGACTCTACTTATCTGTAAATACAAGGAGTTAAGAGCAGTTAGGGATTATGATGGTTTAGTAGAGTGGTGGTTGTGGGTTCCCCTCCAAGATCCAAGACTTCACTAGCCCTGGGTAGTTGGCTAGGTTTTCAGTACCAGCCGTGATTTCTCTCCTATTAAGCAGGCCTTAAATCCAATTAGAGAGCCAAAATTTTTAAATGGCAATACCCTAAATGAACGGATAATGCCACTCACAAAAACCATAGGTTTTGAAATAAAAATCTCAATACCAGTTGTGGGTTATTTCCTTCTGAGTTGTTGGCTAGAGGATCCCAAACAATGGAGGGTACTGCCATTGTTAGGCCATTGTTAGGTCACCCACCAGAACCAGATGGGAAGACTACATCACTGAAGGAAGCACGGACTTTGGACACAGCATATAAATGAATCAGGCTAGCACTAAGCTGGAAGCTTCCACTCTGCTGGCTGGTGTGCACAGTGCTGGAAGGCCCCATGCAGGTTGTGGGGAAAAGCCATCAATGCCCTTACCCAACTCTGGATCCTACCCATGGGAAGAATTACATACGTGGAACTGCAGGTCTGCACTGCCGTGATAAAATACCATGACCAAGAGCGACCTGGGAGGGGGAAAAGGTTTCCTTCTTCTCACAGCTTGTAGTCCATCATTCAAGGAAGTCAAGGCAGGAACCTGGAGGCAGGAACTGAAGCAGAGAACATGGAGGAGTGCTGCTCACCGATGTGCTTGCTCCTCATGGCCTGCCCAGCCTGCTTTACTTTTTTCAACTTTTAATGTCTTCTTAAGTTAATTGTTACTAGTTTTCCTTCTTTCTTTTATATTTGAGATAATAGAACTCCAACATTTCCATAGTCACTTTCCTCCTTCCAAATCTTTCTGTATAGCCCTCTTTGCTCTCTTTAAATTCATGGTCTGCTTTTTGTGAACTGTTATTACACACACACACACACACACACACACACACATACACACATACACACACACATCAACTGCACGAGGAGCCAACTATATACAAGCATGTATGCTAGTAAACATCCCTCATCATCCTCAGCAGGCCCACCATCATTGGCTACTGATTCCGCTCACCCGAACTGCATCTCACCACCTCTCTGAAACAGAGCAGTCTTCCTCTGAGCACTCTGACCGATCTGGCATTTCCACATTGACTGCTGCCACCGCAAAAGTGCTGTCTTCTGGACACGATGTGGTGACCAGAGTCACGGACTGACATGAGCTGTGTGTACCCGCAGAAGATCAAGTCAGTCCAAACTCAGAGGGGGCGCTCTTCTGGATTCGCTCCTTAAAGAAAAAACGCTACTGATAGCCAACAGCTGTGGGGAGAGGGAGAATCATTGTTTTTTGAGAGTTTTTATTGCTAGGTTTCCTTTAGGGAGCAATAACTGGGCTGAGGAGGTTACAAAAAAAAAGACATGAAGTTAAGAGGGGGCATGCTGGGAGATGGGAGAACATGACAGAAGTTGGAGAAGGAAACTGAGGATTACACATAATTATCTTTCATTATAGCTATGTATAAAACTCCCACCAACTGTATACAGATCTATAAATAGACACATACACACACATAATAGAACATAAAATTCCTGGATGCCAAGGAACTGTCTGTTTGGTGCCATGTTACTCTAGGGTGGAACACACTAAAGGGAATCAAGAAGTCCAGGCGAGGGAGGAGCATTTCTCGGACTTTGGTTTGGTAATATCAGAAGGGTTTCTGTTTGACACCACTGTATACCTGCTGCTAGAAATTTTTCTTAATTACAGCAGCAAAATAAGTCAAATAGAAATGTACGCCAATGAATTTTCTAGTGAGTATCTTTAAGAATAACCTAAAATTGCTCTCAGAAAGTGTCTTCTAATATGGTTTAGATTGCTGTATCTCTACTGCTTCCAATCTGTCCCACTGGAAGGCCAGATATTACCTCCTTCTTCACTGTTGCTGGTACCGCAGCAAAAAGGCAGGATCACGTGGAAGAGAGGGCTGAAAGCAGACAGAAAGGCACACTCAGTCTCCACTCATTGCAGCAATAATGTGGCACTTTCAACTGCCCAAAATTAGCTCAGCAAACCCTATTTTCTGGACATCTGCTCCCCCATAGAGACCTGACTCCGCTCCCACATATGGGATGAGGAAGGATGCACAGCTCAACAGAGGTAAGCACTGACCTCAACCTTCTCACCTGTCACGTGCTGCTCAATGGGCTATTTTGTACTAGATCAAATACACGTCCTTGCTCACCTCAAAAACACGAACATACCCCACTCAAGAGCTATGACTCCATCTCCACATCATGATGTCCATTTAGACAAGGGCAGCAACAGTAAGCAGCCAACGCAGAGCATACCTGCCTTCTGTAGGCACTATCTCCGTTAGCTATTCCGAGCCTTGCAGAGACCGATGCTCATACCTTTCCTGATGCCAACACGCTCTCAAGAGACAGCCAAGATGCACACTTCAACCCTGGGAAAATGGGAAAATACAACAGGATTCTGTCCAAAGTCAGTCAGTATCTCTTAAGTACATATCAGGATCTTTGGCATATGCAAACATTTCAGCAAAACTCTATGTTGCTGCCAGTGCCTTTTCCTAAGTCACAGGGATTTGCCACAGAAGTGTTCCATTGGCACAAGAGATCTTTTAGGCAAGAGGATACCAATGAAGAAAACAGGTGAACAACCACACAACTATTTCCACATCACTAAGCAAAGAGTAAGGCAGCAAGAAATTGAGAAGGGGGGGGGGGAAGGTATGGATGAACAGAGAAAAGGAGAGGAAGGAAGGGAGGTGGGAAAGATGGACAGAAAAGAGGCAGTTTAATAATTGAAATTGTTTAAGATATATTGTTCTGAATTCTGTTTCATTTTTCCTTAGATCTTCTTATGTAAAGTTCACACACAAACAAAACTTTGTATGTTTATAGACATCAATAACTACACAAGTTCCAAATCTATAGGCATACATAGGACTATTTAACTCTATGACAGAATCCCCGCTAAGGCAGACCACAAAGTAATGCAAGAGATAAGGGTCATGAGATGAGCTTCATCTCTGTCATGCTTTTTCTTTCTTTTTGTTTTTTTGCAAGTTTTAAAAATCTAAAATATAATTACATCATTTCTTCCTCCTCTCTCCAGCACCTCTCATGTCTGCCCCTCTCTCTCAAATTCATGGCCCTTTTTCTTCATTATTCTTTTATATACATAAATATATATTTACACATGTACATGTATGTGTACATACATAAATATATAAATAAATCTTCTGAGTCTATGTAATGTTACGTGTGTGTATATGATTTTCAGGGTTGACCCCTTGTGGATAAGCGATTTGGAGGCTCAGTCCTGGGGAGACTAATTCTCCCTTTTTCAGCATTCTCAGGTGCCTGCAGTTCTTTGTCTAGGGGTACGGTCCCACGAGATTTCCCCCTTCAAAGTAAGCATGCCTATTGTAGTCATTATTCGGGTTCATTTGGGCAGCCATATTTTTGATGGTATCATGGATGACTTCCCCGTCACTTCTAGTAGACACAATCTCACAGCAAATTTACCCGTCCTCTGGCTCTTGAAATCTTTCCGTGCCCTCTCCGATGTCCCATGAACTTTAGAGTTGGGGGTTCTAGGTAGATGGATCAGTTCAGGTTGGCACCTACCATCAGTCGTTCTCTGCATTGTGACCAGTTGGGGGTTTTTGGATTGTCTCTGTCTTTTTGCAAAGGGAAGCTTCTTTGATGAGGGGTGAAAGCCATACATATCTGTGGGTATAAGGACAAATATTCAGAATGCAGTTAGGTTAATTACTATTACCAGACATGGCACCAGTAGGTTCTACTTGAAGATCCATGAGCTCATTAGCAACAGGTAGTTGGTTGGGTTTCCAGTACCAGGCATGATTTCCCACTGTTTACCAGAGCCATAAGTCCAATTAGACAGCAGTTGGCTGCCACCAAAATATAACTGTCACTATTATATTTCTAGATCTTACCAATGCTGCTCATGCTTTGGTCACAGGCCTCACAGACTGGTAGGACTGTTGACGGCTTCCCTCTTCCAGCAGCTGGTACAGCGCCTTCCATTACTGGGAAAGCTAGTCCTCAGGGAAGAGGCTTTCAGGTCGACTTCAGCTCAAATCCTCTAAGTCCTGTGTCTGAAGAGCAAGGGGTCGTCAACACTAGGAATTTACTTCTGGGGGACAGAGACAATAGCAATAGTTTATATTGTTTTGGAGTATCTTGGACTCCTCTGACCAACAACAGGAAAGGAGGTTTCTCAGACTTTGTACCGGGGGTGGGGGTTTTTAGTCTATGGTTCTTCGAGGAAGCATTAGTGAAAAGTTTCTGCACCCCGATAAGCCTCTCTCTGCTAATGCAATAATCCAAATCAGACCAAATCAAACTGAATTAGAAAAGACCCAGGTTTAATGGATACCAATGCTCCCGGATGAATTTCCATCCCCCTAGAGAAGAGCTGGGGAAGGAAGACCAGAAAATCACGTGTTTGTTCTCTGGGGGGCAGTTTAAATACCCTGTGGGAGTGGTCTTGAGCATTTCTGGGGAAGGGTTATCATTTGGCAGGCTGTCTTGGAGGTGGAGTCTGGGCTAAGGCAACTCCCAGGGGAGGAGGCTTGGGATGGAACTTAAAACAAACATTCCAGATTCTTTGGCTATATGGATGCCAGGGGCTGGGGTGATGCTTCCACACAAACATCCCAGACTCTTTGGATATATGGATGCCAGGGGCTGGGGTGATGCTTCCACCCAAACATCCCAGACTCTTTGGGTATAGGGATGACAGGGACTGGGATGAGGCTTTTAACCAAACAATTAGTACCACAAGTGACATAACTTCACTGAAATTATTCACACATACAGACACATATACCTGCTACAGATGAAGACAGAGGTCCTACAGATGAAGTCCCAGATACACTGTCCACTAGAATTTGGCCACAACACCCTGGATCTGCTCTGTCTCTTTAAGAGACAAGTCACACCCACTCCCTCCCCCTGTCAGCTGAGACAGGCTGATCTTCAGCTTCCAGTCTGAGTTCCTTCTCTCTTTTCAGTCTCCCTCTCCCCACACTTTTCACCTTTCTTCCTTCTGTCTCTCCCCTCTCTCTTTTCTTCTTCTTCTTCTTCTTCTTCTTCTTCTTCTTCTTCTTCTTCTT